ACAAGAAATAATTACTTTTCAATTAATCAGAATTATTATTAAAAAGTAATAATTTATAATTTTTTTAGAACTCACTGGAAATGCGAGAAAATTTTGCAAATTCCATCAGCAATCTACCAGTCTCTTTTTCAGACTTTAGATTTCATTTGCTTCGTATGTCTGTTAGTTGGTGGTCCTGCTTACTATACGGGTGTCGGATGGATTACCTTTATTTGTGTATTCGGTATGCTGGTATCATTAATTCTTTTAATCCTTTATTTATTTCATATCGTCGATTTCTTTCGTCAAATACCTTGGATCGTTGCTGTAAGGATTTCATTTCAATTTCTTCAGCAGTTAATTTTAATTACGAATTTTATATTAATTCCTAATAGCATTTTTCCATTAAATTCTTAGGTCTTATGTAACATATTAATTCCTAATAGCAATTTCTAATAGCCCAATAACACTTTTTTTATTTAAAGATGAAATTTGAATGATTTTTGACTATTATGGACATATTTTACAACAATTTATATTCTCCCACTTGAATAATTTACAATTTCATCAACTTTCTTCACTCTTGGCTACACTTTTTGTTGATTTATTTAGCCATAACTATTATCGAAGAAATGCTTTTATGAAGATAAAGTGGAAGATGAATTGTTATCAATAATTTAATATTATTAATGATTACAGGAAATGATATTTTATTTTGCCTGGGCCGTGTTCTTCTTCATGTGTGGTTGTGTGTTGGCTTTAGTCGCAACACGGTTTAATGGTATAACTGGTTACGGTGCAGCTTCGGTACATTAATTTAGATAACATTATTCATTTCATTCCACCTATTCCAGAGATAACCTGCACTGTGAATCATCGTGAACTTGGTGTTTTGTAGGAAAACAGAAGACAGAGCATTGATTATTCGTCCACATTTCGAATTCAATAAACGCACAAAATTTTATTGTTGAATTCAAATCATTTCTATTTAGAGAAAGGAGACTGAGTGTTAACACCATTAGAAATAAAACTTTTATGAGAAATATGATATAATAGCGGAATGTCTTTAGGAAAGAAATGAAATTTTCATATATTAATTTCTACCGATAGAAATTTTTTCCATTTTCATTCTGTGAAAAATTTGCCTTTTTTGATCGACAATGCTCGTATTAAATTTTCAGTTCTTCGCATTTGGAGCATTATGTGCTTATGGCTTCGACAGTTATTTGAAATTCCTGGCATGGAGACATGATGAAATGGCCGTAGGTGGAGCTGGACTGAAAAACTTACCTTACGGTGATACTACAGCATCAAAGGAATCAAGAAAAGAGAGTTCTCATCAATGAGTGAAATTATCCATTGCAGTATTTGTAATTTTAAATATCTGTTTCAAAGCAATCTTTTCAAACATTTTAATTTTTAATAGAAGTTAAACAGAAACAATTCGTGCGATATCGTCGATATCAGTTAGAATTTTATAAAACTCAAAGATGAGAAGGATAAAAAAGAGAATAGAGCTTTTATAGGTCTAAGTGAAGAGCACTGTGAACTTCGGTCCAACTAATTTTGCTGAAAACCAGTCTGTGATGCCGTTGTATGGAAGTGCAATTACCGCCATCATATTCTTATTGTAACGTATAGAAAGCATTAGCATAGTTGTTATAAATCATAGTTATTCTTCCAAGCAATTCAGCTATGCGCCATGACACTTTTAATAATTTTGAAAATCACTAAACCCCCGATAATAATGGACACTCTAACAGATGATTAATAATCGGGAAAAATATCAAAATCGAAAATGTAATTCTTGATCGGTATAATCCTGCTTGGTTCCTTCCATGATACAGATGTATTGTTTACACTCTACATTAATTAAAGAACGGTCATCATCATACTATTTTTATTTCATTCGAGAATTAATTCTTGAGCATCTTTAGATATCCAAAATAAGTTGGGGAAAAAATACGGAAAGAAGAGGTGGAAAAGAATAAATGGAAGATCCATCTAATTAAAACGAAATTCGGGATAGTATTCAGGTACGTTCAAGCAAATCGTCAATTCATCTACCTGAAAAGCCATTTGAAGACAACGAAAACGCCTTTGTTGCGGAAATTTATTATGCGATAATGGGAATTACATCAGTCTCGTTCGTTTTCTTCCCTTTCACTTCCGGTTCCGGAATGAACATCGGTACACAAACATCCAGGATACAACTGTATTAGCAAAAACTTTATACAGTCATAAGTTACAAAGAAATAAACTTCGAGAAGTTAGAAGCAAAGTTAAAATTTCTATAGTACTGATAAGAAGCCGCTCGCTTAATATTTGCACATCACACATATATAGTTTAGACGAATACAAGTAAACGGTACAAATTATTGTTTGAGATTTCGATGATATAATGAAAAAGAGTAATTTAGAATTAAATCTGGTAAAGATATGATAGCTTAGTTAGGAACAGTGACAAAAACATTTATTTTAAAATTGAAAGATAAATTAGGAAAATTCAGGTATATCCGAATTTCGAAATTTAAAAGTTGCCGAAATAGTCCCACTACGACCATTAACTGCAAGATAGAACTGATATAACGATAAGCAAATTACTGGCAATAATGGCAAGTAAATGTTCAATTTAATCGGAATGATCACTCTTTTTAGTTTTTGTCCATTTTTAAATTATTCGAACTTATCGGCAGGTCTATCGAGCTTTGATTAATATAACTATAAAAGACTATTTTTCGAAATATTTGACCAAAAGAAGGCTCTCATCTATTTCTACAATCATACGAAACAAATTCTGACCTTCCCGTCTAGCTTTCAATCTAAATATCGAATTCATAAAATTCCATTAAATGACTATCTGTTATGAGATATCACATGGATTAATAATAGCATGGAAAATCACCTGGAAGAGTAAATAAATCATTATTATGAGTGAAAATGACGAAATCGATTTTTCCATTTTCATCCCATCGATATATGAAATTGAAGAGTTAATTTAAAGATAATAAAACGAACTTATAAAACAGAAGCACATTAAGAAAACACGATAAGGCGCGTCCGGTCCATATGTTCAATCATCTCCGGTAGCCTACCGTATGGCTGTTGGAGAATCTGTGGGGAACTGTCCTGACGTGCAATATCGACGTAAAACAGTGCTGTTGCTGCTACTCGATTTGACGAATTTTTTACAATTGAAATATCGAAAATAAGCAAATATCCAGGAACATTCCACCAATGCTATTTACCAATGTGATCAGCCAAATAATCTGTTATTGCGGGAATTGTGATGGTCATTTATCTGAAATCATAAAATGAAGTTGTGAGACTAAAATGTCAGTAAGATAATGATCCATTTTGTGTGATAAATTCTAAATAGTCATGAAATAATTTCAGAATCGAAATGAGTGATGAATAAAGCTTACTTCAGTGGACAACAATGATGTACGAATATTTCTGCAAGTAATAGGTAAGCTATACGTACCAATAACGGAATGCATATCATATAAAATCAAATGCTCACATATTCCAAAAAAGAAGATGCTGAATGAATTGAAATGAAAGAAAATTGGGAAAAATGATAAACCAGAATGAATTCATTACCGGAAATATTAGCCGGATCAGTAGCTATTTATATTCTCAAAGCAAATATATGCAAGCAAAAAAAAAATCAGAATTTTTTGCAACGATACGAGAAAAATTTCAGTTAAGGATGGAGAAAGAGAGGTTGGCGGTAGGAGATGCGTCCTTAGCACCACTACGAACCGCCTCACCTTCCTTCCTACCTTCCTCTCACCTTAACCATGGAGAAGGAGGAGGAGGATATTTCAAGCATCTTTTCGACGTCAATTATAGAGGGAGGAGTGACAGTAAAGGAAAGATGAGCCATGTCGAGAGCGCACCGCGGTTTTTCCCAACGATCACTCTTCTCTCTCTATATGCATGTGTGTGTAATAGTTGTAGCAGTATTTACAGACAGCGGTATGAATATGTGTGTATATGTCTATCGATGACGATGGGATAGGATTGAATTGGTTGGAGTGAGTCGACGCTCCACCAATTGTTGGCCTTCTTGTCATCATTTTGAAGGTGGAGGAACGGCGAGAGGGAGATGACCAAACAAAGGGTTTTTTTGCAATCCTTTGCTGCTCCTCGCCTTTCTCTCTCATCTCCGTCCTATCATCAATTCTTTATTTTACCACACCGTATCGATCATTTCACTAAAGTGTGTTAGAGGAATCTGATCCGATCCAAATTGAACTCAATCTCTGCTTCAGATATTAAGCGCATATTTATATAAAGCGGCTTTTTCATGCTGTCACTCACGTCCTCTTACACTCTTAAAACATAGGGTGGAGGGGAGAGAGAAAGAGCTGTCATTGATGACAGGTGACAGATAATAATAAAGTATGGACTCGTTTTGGCTGACCTTCAAAAAGGTACCCATCACGTTGAAATGATAGTTGCAACAGTGTAAAAGTTAACCGTGTAGTTGTATGAAAATAGCAAAACTCAGTTCTTATTTTGTGGAGGATTTTTTTTTAATTTCATTTTGCATTCTTTGCTAGAAATATTAGCATCTGTGTAACATTCGATGTGTTACATCGAATGTTTTAGGGATGTGAAAGATAAATAGCGAAGAGAATTTTTTTTCTTTCCTCATTCGGTTTTTAAAAAAACGACTTGACCTTTTCAATAAGTCGTAAGGGTTTTTTAATAAAAGATCAAAATGAGACAAAATTTTTAAAATAGTTGTTTTCTACGTGGTAAAAATATACTCTGCGGAAAACGTAAGAAAAAGATATCAAAGAGAATTTCAATTGACTAATTCTTTTCACACTTTTTTACATTTCTTAGCATTTATTAGAAATAATTCATTTCAAAACATTCCCACCACTTTTGCTATATTTTACTCATTCACAGAATACATTTTACTTCCTTTTATTATGTGAAATGTGGAATAAAAATTGAGGAATGAAGGATGTGAAATCATTTTAACAAAAAAACTCTGCAATAAATATTTGTAGCTTTATTTGAATTTAAATAATTGCTTACAAATCGAGAATGAAATCACACGAGTGATACATTATTTATGTTTACAGTTTTTTCCTTTTTTGCTCACAATGATAACGTTACTTTTGATGATCAAACATTACTGCTTGTTAACATTCATTTATCTTTTAATAATGGTGATAGTAGCGCAGCATTGCTTTGTTGTTGCATCTATAAAAAAATTTGTATAAAATGACGAAGTTCAAATGCTTCTGTTTGATAATGACAAATCATTTAAATTGTAATGAGAAGCGGTTCTACTTTGAAATATCGAAAAAAAGTCAACAGGTAAGGTAATTAATAACAACAATTAATTGGCCTTTAATTTCACTAAGTTTTGATCGTATTAATTGAGATCAGAACAATGGTATATTTCATCTGTGGAATGACATATTTAACATCAGTTCTCAAATTAAGTATTTAAGAATTTAATTTCAAAACTACAATTTGCATTTTTCCGAAAAGTATTCAGTAGCTTTATATGAACTAATGGAACATTTGATTGCTTTTTTTGTTTTCACTCCATATAGTTTGAATAACTTTTAAATATTTTTGTGACCTTATTGATTAAAAGTCAATTTTCATGGATCGTAATAGTTCGAAATGTTCTTTAAATGAAAAACAAAAATTCGAGAAGTGGCAGACATAATTCTGTCATAAAAGAAAAGCTTTTTTAAAGCTTTTCATAATTCATATGAAAATGTAGAAAATTCTGAAAGGAAAATTGCAATTGGATCGATTTTTCGCAGTATTAAAACGTTGATTGTTTGACTGTCAAAAGCATATGATTGACTGCTGTCAGGGATGGAAAAATTTTAATCGCTTGATTATTTACATTTCTATCTGATAATATATTTTTCTAAGATTTCAATGATGATATTTATAAATGGGAATGAATCGAATTTATAAAATGATTAACTGAGAATTAGGTTAAAAAAGTCATTTACAGAAGTTGTACCTTATATTGAAAGACTACTTTTTCATAATCACCTCTTTAAATTAAAATAAATCCTTAAACTGCTGGAAATATAAAAGTTGTTTTTTAAATTAAAACAATTATGAGTAAATTAAATAAACCAATTTGATATGCATGAAATGATTGGTTTGCTCATACTTTTCTAAAAAAATCGTCATGCAAGCAATATTTAACTCATTAAATATTAGTATGGTCGTAATTTATGATAAGAATTGATAAAAAACTTACGAAGGAATCAGTCTTGAATTTTCTTTTCATCTTTGCGGTTTTGATAAATATGCCACAATGCCGCAAGCAGATCGGCTGCGACCATTTCGCCAGCGTTATCGCTCACCAAATGCAGCACTGTGATTGCATCCTAAAAATTTCATTTTAAACTTTTCTTTTTGATGGCAATGTTACCAACTTCTCAGGCAGTTTATTTAAGATAACGAGAATTTATGGAAAAAATAATCGCTTGAAGATCCATCGAATTAAATATTAGTAATTTCTCCTAACTGATACTTTCTGTCCTTCATATTCGATCCAATCCTCCGTCCAACGTCATTATTGTATAAGTTGTCAATTAATGCTAATCAGATGATAACAGTTGTCAGTGAAAACTTTTTAATCATCACGATAGAAATCTTTTTATTTTGCAAGAGGATGGAATTATTCAAGTAGGAATAATCAAATAAATATCAAAATGTAAACTTTTCCGGCTGAATAGTGTAGAAAATGATCGAGTTCCTCTTTTGTTGGTTTAATATTGTGAAAAGTCTGAAAGCATCTTATTGAACTTATTTTATGGTTACATCTATCAAAAAAATTAACTTAATTGTAATTCAAACTTGATTGAGGCGTTGAGAAATTGATTTTAATCATTGCAATCTCGACCTGATCGATGCAACTTAATATAATCTCCATCTAATATTTGTTTATTCTCGTTCAGTGTTGAAGATTTCTTTCTATTTTTGAATTGTTTAAAAAACCACTTGTTGATTTTTATCATTCAGTTCGATCAATAAAAGAAAGAAATTGAGAAAAGCTTACTAAATAAGAAGATACGAAATTTCTAGAATAACTTGGGGCAAAAGTTATCACCGTCCAATAGACTAAATTAAGAATTGTTAGAAAGCCCAAAGCTATCAACCAAAACCACACGGCAAGAAATATTTTCTCATTGAACATATTTATCATTAGAACACACTGGATAGTTTTTCGATTCGTATTACCAATTTCGCGAATGATCACATCACAATAGGTAACCTCCAATATATAACATTTTGGCTAATACAAAAAACTTTTTAAAGCATAACACAAAAAATAGTAGGTTAAATTATATTAAATTCTTCGAGACCTGTCTAAATCATCAATTTTAAGCAATATTTTGATCGATGTTTGAAAAGTTCTAAAATTCATTCATAAGTTCACTTCAAACCTCTCCATCATATAATAAATTAAAAAAATTTTGAATTTCAAATGTATAACAAACCCTCGGGAAATTTCCACTTATGGACCATTCTCTACCGTGAATTAAATCGTTGAGCACTCCAAAACCCCACAAATAATATTGCATACCAAGGAAACGATTCAACAAGTAAAGTTGTACAATGATATTTAAAACATTCAAACATTTGCAAAATAAATATAACATTGTAACATAAATTTGCTGTGGTGGTGCTAAAAAAGCGTTAAATTCCTCGTGTTAAATTCAATTTTTTAGTTCAAAAGTGTGAAAAAATTCAGATGGTTACTATTACAAGCTATTTGCAGCTGATAAATTTAAACAATTTTCATAAATCATTGCATGTTTCAATTCTTATCATATAAATGGGTGTGAAACTATTCTTCATTCCATATATTCCTATTCTTATGGAATAAGAATCGGTGGAATGAAACTATGCTCACCCATAAATTTTCCATATTGACTTTTCCTTCGGTTAAAATCCATCACATAAGTGATTTGTTGAGCTTGTGCAAATAAATCGTCTCGATTTTTCGTTATCTATAATTGACGAAATTAACTAAAAAGGAATTCGAATCCATACTGAATAATTTTGTAGAAAAAAAGGTTTTACTTTTTTCAAATGCCGTTTTTTGCCCACTTTTTTGGTTAGAATTGCTGCATCAACAATCGCTTGCATATTTAATCCTACAAATATAAGCACTCATTAGTGTTCAGGAAGCTAATACATTAATTATCTTTGCTAGAAAAACTGGAGAGAATCAATCTTCTAATGGAAACAAAAAAAAACGGCGCACCTGTACGCCAATTAAACATTGTCCAGATAGTCCGAGGTACAAGAAACAGCAAAGCTTGTAAGGTGAGAATAAACGGTGTCCATTGATAATATTGTATTTGATATTGATCACGCTTCGAAACATCCTAAAATGTTGAACAAAAAATCTGAAGGGAGAAGTTCGGATGATACGCTTTTGTCGTGGCTAAAATTTGATTGATTCATCACTTAGTGTATTCTGTTTGATTTTACTTTAATTTTTTAATGCAAAAATTAGTACAATGAATGCAATTTACCGTAGGTATATCATCTGCAAACGGTAAAAAGTAGGTATTTTCAACGAAACAAAAATTCTCGATATATTGCTCCCAGCCATTCTAAAAAAAAATAATTAATATCGAATCATTAAACAGAAAATAAGCGAAAAGAAAAAATTTCATTGGTTATAATTTTGTAAGTCTAATTGAAATATATAAAACTTGACCAATCTTTATGAATTAGGCTTTCTATCAATTAGATATGATGAAAAATTTTTTCGGCTTCATGCATTCTGATTGTGATTGTAATGAAATATAATTTTTAGCTGGAAGATTCAAATTATCATTCTTATGACCTAATTTGATATCGGATTATTAGTTTATGATAGAATGGACAATTATCGGGAAGAGTTATATATCTTTTTACTTTAATTTTCAAATGCAAAAATTAGTACAGTGAATGCAATTTATCTTGTGATCAAGCAGATATTAATAACTTAAATGAATTTAGATTCGCTAACTCTAGCATTTATCAGAGAGAATTTAGAACCTGGAATTCAGCCGGTACCCAGCACTGTAGTGGTTCTCCAACATATTGTTTCGCGGCAACAGTTATTGCACAAATTAAAAGCATAATGTTAGTGATCAAATAGTTACATCTGTCCACCACGTCGTCATCATATTTCGGCTTCAAACTTTGCAAATATTTATCTAAAATTAGCCAATTTCAAATTGTAAAAATAAGAAGTTATATTAAAAGGCTGTAGAATGAATGGAGGCTACTTAACTCGGTAGTATAGAATATCAAAAATGGGATGTAGAAAAAATTGCTTTGTTAAGATTCTATAACTTATCAGATGGTATGATAAAGGAGGAATAGCAAGCAGTGAGTTTGAAATCATACTTGTAGAATTTGTAATTAATTTTGATGATGGATGAATCAGAAATAAGCAAAACTCACCAAAATTTTGGATCATACTCTTGAAATCTAAAAGATCAATTAGATGTTTCTACGAATATCTAGAAAAAATGATTAAATTTGATAATTCAATTTCTCGAACTGAATTGAATTATATAAGTTTAAAAAACAAGCAAAGTTTAAAGTTTTCTTTAAAAAACAAGAAATATTAAAACCTAAAATATTAAAAAATGATTCAACGATTTTTTATTCCAGGTATTAATATTGAGAAACTTCATCCCAGTTAATGAAGTTTGATTTAATAATCCAATTTAAAGCGATATTAAAAAATGATTCATTGGTTAGAGACTTTTAACGAGAAAAAAAATAACAAAAATTTTGGTTCTAAGCAGCAAATTCGAACGATTTAGTTATCTCTTGACCGTAACTGAGGAAACGATTGGATGAAGAGATAATAATAGCGCAGCACAAACACACATTCCCGAGACAGTCATCGAATTTCAATCACATCATACTAATTCATAATCTCAAACACTAAAATTCTTAAAATTTTACTCATCCCAATTGGTACTTACGGCATTCCTGAAATGAAATTTTCTTTTCAATCAGTGAAATTATACACGAATACTCTTAATAATATGCTGATATGCTTGCATTATGATCAGCTTTTTTAGCTTTTCTGATTATCTTCTTTGAAAGTAAATGTTTTTTACTCAGCGCTGCAGATTTTTCTCTTTTAGACAATGATGAATTGCATTTGCAGAAATTTTTCGGATTAAATTTGAAGCAGACTATTGCTCACTTTATTATCCCTATTATCGACGTAGCGAATAGACAAAGATAGCCTTCCATATTTCAAACATTTGAAAAGGAAAAGTTCACAAGAATTGACAATATTTCCATTCAGCAAAGTAGAAACGAAACCTTTCTTTCCTTCAGATTTAGCTGTTACGATTTAGTTATAAAAAAAGGAATTGAAATGATAGGAAGAAAAAAAGACTAATTAATCTCTTAGCAATGAGATGTTTGTTTATTAGAAGTTTGTTATATATTGTTGTATATTAAACTTTTCAATGAATGTAACAAATTCAATCTATTTTTGCATGTTTTGAATTTATGAAATTTTGCATTACATCAATGTTTTGCTATGAACTTTCTGCTTACTCGACAACTTTCAAATTTATTCTATGCCATAAAAAGTTAGGTAAGAATGCTTCAGCACTTTCCGATTGAGGAGATTTGGCTCAATCAATTTTGATATTATCGTGATAATTGATGTCAGAAATAGTTAAGACCACCATTAATAGAGTCTCTGCATTTGATAAAATTTATCAAAATTGGCGAAAAATTAGCATACCTTTGTCGTTCAACGGTGTTGCAACTTGAAGTATACAGTATTCTCGAGCTTATTTGACCAGTAAAGTGCTCTCACATTATTTTAATTAGTGTTCAATTGTAATTTAATGCAATATTTTCATGCATGCAACAAATGGCCATAATTACAGATATGTGCTGCGAAACAGTAAGTAATGTTCAATCTGAAAACATTGAAATAGCACTAAAATATCAGTATTATGATATCATTTACTTCGTTATTTAATTATTTAACAAGGAATCTGAATTAATTATTTAACTTAACTTCAGCACATCTTAGTTGCTTTTAAATGACCAAAAGAAATGTAGAACAACGAAAATGGTCATTTTGGACTATTATTAGCAAATATGTCTTATGCAGTTTTCTTTTCCAGAAAAATCTGCTTCATTGTTATTTCTCACTGTATAACTTAAAGACGACTGAAGCTGCGGAATTATACAATTTTCATTATTTCATACAATGAATATAAATATTTATTGCTCAAAAGCAGTTACTTAGCAACAATTTTTTTCTTCAAAATACTTTTTTTATTTTTAAATTTTTAGTTTGATATCATCTCTCAATTTTTCATGCTGATTGGAAAGTGTTTTGTTGGGATAAGCAGCCTTTTAAATACCTTTATTAAAGTAGGGGAGATTTTAAAAATTTATGTATACTGAAGATTAATATTTTTCAAATATGCAATGACAAGCTGTTTGATATTGGAGAGCCGACAGTGAATTTCTTGCATGGTTGCAACGAGTCTTTATAAGAGGCGAATGATGGACTGAACGTCTCAAATGACAATGTCGAAAAAGATTTTATCAACTGGAAATAACATTCATCAATGCCGCTTTCATTTCAATCATTTAATTTTTCCGATTTGTCTTGTCAAATTGTAACGAGAATATAAATTTTAACATAATAATTAACTGGTGCCAATTAATCCTCGTGGAAAAATCTTGAAAAGTTATTGCTTAGCATCTGTCATCAAAACTTATGTGGTGCTATAAAATCGCCTGAAAGAAAAGAAAAGATCTTACATGACCTTAGATATTGAAGAAAGAAGTAATGAATAAAAATTGATTTTTTGTGAGTGAAAATTCTTCACATCTAATTTTACAAGACTTTCTCAAGTAAGCGAAGCCAAATGAATATCATTTGACGGTGGGTCAGAATGTCGGTACCATTTGTCGGGAAATCCGAAATTTTGCGATAAAATTATTCATCACATGGACTGAGAATGAGGGTTAGGCCGAGAAGCTGCGCTTCACAAAAATTTTGTCTTTATTGAAATTTGTAACACGACCTCTCTGTGTTGCTATAATATCATTGAGATAGCTTTACCAGGCCTGTCTCTTACGTGAGAAGAATACAGCCAACACGTAGTCATAAACTCTCTCTCCCCATTATGTATTATTCTGATACGGTCCAATATTGGGTACATAAACAGTGAAATGCTCGATCGGACTCCTTTCGCATTCTTTCACATCTTTCAACATTCATACGCTTATTCGCCTAGCAATTATCATTATATATGCTGCTATCCGTTCCATTTCGTCTGTTGAATTATTCGGATATAATTCCCAACTGTAAAATAAATCTTAACAATAATTTATCTGTAAATCAACACCAATCAAT